ATGTGTATAAGAGACAGACGTGGGGAGCCCCTCAGACACCCCCGTGAAGGGGAGGGGGGGTCCTTGCGCTGGGGAGCCCCTCAGACCCCCCTGTGAAGGGGAGGGGGGGTCACTGACGTGGGGAGCCCCTGAGACACCCCCGTGAAGGGGAGGGGGGGTCATTGATGTGGGGAGCCCCTGAGACACCCCCATGAAGGGGAAGGGGGGGTCACTGATGTGGGGAGCCCCTCAGACACCCCCGTGAAGGGGAGGGGGGGCCACTGATGTGGGGAGCCCCTCAGACACCCCCATGAAGGGTGCAGGGTGTCATTGATGTGGGGGGCCCCTCAGACACCCCTCCACGAAGGGCATGGGGGTCCTTGCAGTGGGGAGCCCCTCAGGTACATCTCTGTGTCTCCCCCCAAGGAATTTTGGTGAGACTGCTCTGAGCTGCCCTCAGGCACATCTCTGGAGGCACAGCCCCACAGACACCTCTTCCTCCCCAAAAATAGGGTACTGGGGAAGTAGCCCCTCACCACCCTTAAAGCAGGTTATTGGGGGGGTCCTCACTGTTGGGAGCCCCTCACTGTCACCTCATGGGGGTCTCGTGTTGCAGGAGGTTGGCATCAAGCCCCCGTGTCTGTCCCCTCTCCCTGAGACAGGGAGGAGCCTTGCGAGGCTGGGCCGGCCTGTGCTGGCAGGGCACCGGGGACTTGCAGTGCTCAACATATTTCATGGGTAAAAATAGACCTTTGGTGTTCAGAGCCAGCTGTCACCTGCCCCGCTAACCCGCAGACAAACATTCCCGTGGAGGTTATGCCTTTCCCTGAAGTTTCTCGGGATGTTTTCTCCCCCCTGCCCTGGCTGGGTAGTTAACAAATGTATTAATTATTAGTTAACAAATGAATTTAACAAATTTGCTGTCTTTCCCCATCCACTATCCCTGAATCTGTGTCCCTTTGCCCTGGGACACATCCCTAGGGCAGCCACTGGTGGGTCAGGGTTGTAGCTCATGGAGAAGTGTGCTGGTTTGTATCGGTCCAGGTGACAGCTGTGGACCCGTAGGATGGTGAACGCTGTGGTTCCACTCCAGAACAGCCCTCCTGTACTTTGTTTCCTCTTGTCTCTTTTGATTTCCTCCCCCAGCTTTCTCCCATCACTGATTCACTCTTCCTCTAACCAACCCTTTTTAGTTGCCTGCCACAGAAGCTTAGGGCATTGTTTTTCCGTCTGTTGTTGCTCTTAGTTGGATTTCCTTTTAAATGCTAGTTTCCTGATTTATTTATGGAGGGGGAGAAAATTGTAACAGTGCATCTCTTTTTAGAAGTATTTAGTTAGACTTGTCTTTACAAAACATATTTATGTTCCAGGTTAGCAGATGACTCCCTCTCCCCATTCCTTCTCTTCCCATGCATCTACAGCACTGTCAGGGCATCTCTGGTAAAGGCTGTTTTAGGGATAATTTGTTTCAGACAGAAATACACAGTCTGCAAATTTTCCTTGTGGTTACAGTGATTTTAGCCTAATAGAGCCTGAATGTGGTTTTCAGGCTGGACCAACTCAATGGGACATGTAATATCGCTTGAACAGTAAGGGAGTTCTTTGTTGGGAAGTCTTGAATAACTTAGAATCATAGAACATCTCAAGCTGGAAGGGACCCATAAGAATTTGAGTGGGTTTTTTATTGTTGTCTTTTCTTACTCGTTTCAGACAGTGTTTGTTGGAAAGAATAAGCCGCAGAAAGATCCCCTGAGCTCCTTCCGCTGGCAGGGCTTCAAGCTGGAGGAGTATCTCATCGGCCAACCCATCGGGAAGGGCTGCAGTGCTGCTGTGTACGAAGCAGCTATTCCTTTCTCTCGCGACCGCCGGGGGTGTGTGGAGAGCAGCCATCTCTTGGGGCAGGGGCCAGCCCTGCAGCGGGATCGTGGCTTGGCTTTACAAGTGGCTGAAGAGGAGCCCGTAGAGAAGCACCAACCAAAAGAGGCTTTTCCGTTAGCTATCAAAATGATGTGGAACATTTCGGTAAGGAGTCAGTTCTTAATCTTGTCTGTCACTGGGAAAGTCTGGTTGAAATGTTTAACGCTTAAGTGTTGAAACCGCTAATTATGTAGCGCACGATGAGTGTGTCAAAACAAAGCTGTTGATATGTGACACTGGAGACGTTGATTGTTAGCGAACAGTCCCAGAGCAAGGTAATTAGCGTTCATCATTCCTCTGGAATTGGCGTTGAGAGCTGCTGGTGGTGGAGTTGTTGGATATGGAGGTGATGGTTTTGGAAGAAAAGCTTTTCTGAAGCTGGCTGTGATGGTAAAGTATGAACGGGAAAGCCACAGCTGCCAGAGCTTTAGGAATCGGTGTCCTCGTCAGTGTCAGGACAGAGATTTTCCTCTGCACCATGGAGCTGAGGTGTGAGTCAGTGGTGGCAGGGGTGTGGCAGTAACCTCCGCACTGGGTCCCTGTGCTGGGAAGTGGGTGGGCGAGATCTGTGCTAGTGTTTTGACTCTGATGATCCAACCCCTCAAGGTGGCTATTCTACATTTTAAAAATCCATGTGGCTTTTCCCATTGAAGAGTTTTTGTGGCACTCGATGTGAGAAGTGGATATTTTAAGAGTCTTCCAAAATGCCAACGTCTGAAACAACTTGGGCTCCAGAAATACTTTGGCATTCACCTGTAGACTTTTCCAGTCAGGTTTTAAGGTTGAAAATGAGTGTTAGTGTATAGCTCAGCATGCTAACAGTTGAGGATGCATTTGAAGAGACAAATGGATTCCTTTCTGCAAATAAAGGCCTTGCCATTTAAGTAATTAATTGCCTTCCCCAATTTTCAAAGTAGAGAAGGGAGTGCCTTCAATCTAGATTCAGTTGATCTAGCTCCAGGTACAGTGCCAGCATCAGGATTATCTGCTTTCAGTCTGCGTGGAGGTTGGATGATTTTGGGGCTTAAATCAATGCGGTGTGTATTTGGTTGCAGGCAGGTTCATCAAGTGAAGCCATCCTCGATGCCATGGGCCGAGAGCTTGTTCCAGCCACAGGGGTGGCCTTGGCCGGAGAGTACGGAGCCGCCGCTGGCCGCAGGTATGGTCACCATGGAAACGGCCATGGGTCGCAAACGGGGATGTGCTAATTTTACCCATCTAATTTTGCAGCACGTGTACTGTTAAGAAGATGGCCAGAGGTTTCTATAATAGTTCCTGAAAGTAGATAAAAATGAAGCCTTGGGATTATAAATGGCTTGGGAGGCTTGTGTGTATGTTTTATCTAAATGACGGTGCCCTCAGAGGTGCCGTGTACCTCAAATGTGAGGCAGGGATGAGCTGCTGGCTGCTGTGGGCATTTTTCTCTGGTGTGCTTTTCTCCAGCACAAGTAGGACACTGCATAGCAATACCATTGTTCAAACAGTGATTTATCACAGTCTCATTTACTCTGAGGAGCAGATTGTGGCATGGCTTGTTGGTGTGTGGGGAATATCTACCGCTAAACTGCACTGGCTTGGATTGTCAGAAGGAAACGGCAATAACTGGGGACCAACTGGGGTCCTGACAGGTGACTGTGGCCAGGCACTTCTGTGCCCTGTGCCTTAGTTTCCCCATGTGTAAAATGCACTGATATATGCAGAGTTAAAGGCTTGGAGGAGCCCCTACTGATTAAACATCATTTAAATGTGCATCGTGGTGCTTTTTAATTACAGAAATACGCACCTACAATCAGTAACAATTTGACTATTAAACATCGAACAATTGGACTGTGAAACAATTTGACTGTACTATTTTAAAACTGGTTTGGTTGTGCAATGGGTGCTGGGCAGGGAGGTGGAAACTGTTCTCGTGCAGGGAAACTGGTGAGAAAGAAAATAGAAAATGACTTGGTTCCCGAGTGAGAAGTGAGCAAACAGCATGAAGGTGGAAAATTGCACAGAAACTTTTAAATTATCTCAAGTTAGCTGTCTTTTTGTTCAAAAAAAGCATCTTTCTGTTCAATTTGAAACAATGAAGTCTGCAGTCCAGATTGTCTGATTTAAATTTCAAATACATCTCGGCTGCCAATACAAATGAATAATGAATGCTGTGTGGTACATCAGCGCAGCGGAGCAGCCAAAGGGATATTTGACATTCAGGGGATGAGAGAGGAGAGAGATCTGTTTTGCAGATACAGATAGGTAACCTGCTTTTCATTGTAGTGAGTGCTTCCTGCCTGCGCCATAAAATAAAGGGTCTAAATTGATATGCCTAGTGTGAAGATGACCTTTACTTTACGTCTAACAAAGTAATTGTGTTTGGTTGTTTTTTTTTTTTTCTCTAAAGCTGTTGTAGTTCTTTTTGAACTGAGAAGCAGCCTGTGACTAGCTCTGCCTTTGTCAGCAGCGTGGAAGGGCTAGTAGGGTTTGAATAAAATTAAAGGCTGCATGTTAAGTGTAAGGGTTTCCAGCAAAGCTTCTTTTGTTGCACTGGTATAGCACCAATATTTCCTGTTCAACCATTGTATGTAGAGAAATCCAGTTTCAAAAGAGTCCTAACAGCCACGGGTGAAGTCCTGAAGTACCCTCCGCTGCTGTATCGGCGGATGGTGCTGCCTTGGCGATGGTTCACTGTGCTGTGGGAAGCACTGGGGTAGATTTTGAACTCTGGAGAAAATGTTGGGACCTGCCCGCTCCTGTGGGATCTGCTCAGGCTGTGGGGGCTCTGCATCAACCTGGGAAATGCCGGGCTGAGGCACTGGTTAGGAAATGGGCTGTGTGGGCAGCAAGGTTACTGTCCACCTTCTTTCTAACCTAATGGTTTCTGGGATGTAAACGTTTGAATATTTGCTTAATGACCAGTCCTGTAATCTGTACTGATCAGCCTTAATGTTCTTTCTAATAAGGTTTTCACTGCAGAATAAATGTATTTGCACAATGCTTTCGAACCCTTTGGTGGGGAGGACAGGCCATATTAATGAAAAGTAATTTCAGAAATGTGAGAGATGTGTCTGATAAATCAGAACTGACCAAGAGATCGATGTAGTCTGCCATATCTGTACTTTTGTGCAGAAAACCTGTCATTGGGAGGAAGAAGTTGCAACCTCATCCGAATATAATCCAGGTGATCCGAGCGTTCACATCCTCTGTCCCTTTGCTGCCTGGAGCCTTTGCAGACTATCCCGATGTTCTTCCATTAAGCCTGAATCCCAGAGGGATCGGTCACAGCCGCACGCTCTTCTTGGTGATGAAGAAGTAGGTAGAGAGCAGCTTGTTAATGCGACTCGGGCTTTTTGTGACACTGCCCTGCGGGGCTGTATATTCTACTGCTACACGGGTCCTTGCAAAGAGTTAGCCTGGGCTGCTGCCAAAAAGCAGAGTATGCTCTTGGAAATGCCTCCTAAGACCCATTCCAAGTCCTTGAGATTTTAACTCTTGTTCAACAATGAAGACAAGCCATTCTTTTTAATAATTACTCCACATTACAGTAAGAAATGTTGAGCTTGTCCCCATTTGTCTGCCCTTCCAAGTCCGAACTTCACCCATAGTCTGAACACGACGCTAGAGACACAGTAGAATGGGTAATGAGATTTGTGATTGCCCAGCATCTCTGGCTTTCTCAGTTGGGTTTTGATTTTGAATGGGTACTGCAGTGGCATTGACATAAAAGCACCTTCTGTTTCCCACTCTTTTGTTCTGCTTGCCTCTGGAGAAGTGCTCTGTCCTCTCTGTATTTCCAGAATATGTTCTTTCTCCTGATTAGCACGGCTCGTTTGGCTCATATGATCTGTGTTATTAATCTGCTGCCTCTTTCATGAAAAATATAACACCAGTCCATAAAAACCTGTAATGACCACTGTATGCCTGAAGCCTCTTTCCGTGCTGTTTAAGAGGCTTCTTTTATTCACAGTTAAACTCGGGTGAGACTGCTGAAAATTCAGTGGTGGGTGTTGTTGGAAAACAGGATTTGAGAACAGCAGCCAGGGGAGCTGTGTCAGGTTGAGGCTGGGAGGTGGGAAGGCATCGTGGAGGTCAGGAAGAATTTGGCACACGCAAGCGTGCCATATCCCCAACCAGCCAGCCCCGAGGTTGGACCACAAGCAATAAGCTTCCAGGATGCTAATTCAGTTTTCCTTGTTTTGACCAGTTACCCGTGCACGCTGCGCCAGTATCTGAGGGAGAGCAGTCCGGATGTTTGTCTCTCCACGATGATGATTTTACAGCTCTTGGAAGGCGTGGACCATCTTGTTCGACATGGAATAGCACACAGAGACCTGAAGTCTGACAACATCCTGGTTGAATTTGATTCTGGTACGTAGATTGCTGAGTATAAACGCCAATTAAGTCATGCACAGAAGTGATGCAGTCATGTCAGTAGTAGCAGAAGTTTTTCCCAAGCGTGCGTTTGGGAGAAAAACGAGCATCAAACGCTTTGAAGAGTCTCAGGTTTAGTTTTTAGCTTATTGCTTGCTGTCGCTGCTGTGCTGGGGAAGTCAGTTATTCTGTCTGTGCCTCAGGTTTGGATCATTAAAGTGGACTTGAAAGCAGCATTGTGCTGTAATCAGATGGAGAGATGCAGTGTGTTGCTGAGGAGATGTGTTGCACAGGCACAGTGAACATCAGCTGGGGCAGATGGGTGCATTGTAACACCACATTTGCTTCAGGCTCCTGGCTATGGCATCTCTCAGCAGCCAGATAGCACAGGGCAGTTCTTAAAATCCCACCTCACCGTCAGGTTAATAGTGCTGCACCCTGGGATGATGAAACATCACTTGGAAGGCAAGGAGACCCACAGTTTAAAGCCAAAAGCAGTGTTTTCATCAGCTTGTTCTCCTGTCAGCCTCTCTAACTGAGATTTTAATTACCTGAGCTCTTTTTCAGGGTGATTGAGATTTAAATGGGCAGGAAACAATAGCAGGCAGCCAGATCTGTGTAATTAAAGGTCTTGGTACAGCAGCGGTGGAAGGTTTTCAGCAATACTAATGCCACCCTTCTTTTGTTGAAGGAAGAGCTTCTCTGCAGCTATCCTGACTGTGTTTAGGAATGATCGAAAGCATCGACTTTTCTGTATTGGAGTCTGGAGAAGTAATGATTCTACTTTGCAATGTTTGACTTGTCATCAGGACAAGGACTGATAACTAAAGCGAAATTTCTCCAGCCTTTTGCTATAGCTAAATATATATGTGCCTGTTGATAGCTTTTCCTATAGATAAAAACAGGGAAAAAAAAAATTCCTCCATTATGGATGAGTTTCTAACATTATGTGTCTTCAATTTTATGGTATCCGTGACATTTTGTGAGACACACCTTCCATGAGGAGCAGTATTATCCTCTAAAGAGGAAACGGAATAACAACTTCTGTTTTAATAAAACTGGTATTTCACCTAATAATACAGAGGCAAAGAAGGAAGACAGCGTGTGGTCATGCTGATTCCTGGGGGTATTGAGATTGTTCCTGAAGACTGTCTCTGGTGCCCATGTGATATGGTGTCTTCTACAGCCCCTTCCTCCCAGACCTAACTCTGGTAGCCCTGTGTCCTTCGCAGCTGGTTGCCCCTGGCTGGTGATCACGGACTTCGGCTGCTGTTTGGCAGATGAAAACATTGGTTTGAGACTGCCTTTCACCAGCTCCTACGTGGATCGGGGCGGCAACGGCTGTCTTATGGCACCCGAGGTAAATCCCCCTGTGGTAATGCCTTGTGTTGCTGCTTGTCTGCTTGTCCTGCTGTCAGCACTAAAAAGTTTCAGCCGCACCTGTGGTAAGAACTTGAAAAAGGGTGGGATTAGCTCTAGAAGCAGTGGAGGGGCTGTGATTTGTCCCTGAGCCTTCCTCCACATGCACACACCTATACTTGCTTATGTGTCTGTGCTGGGGTGTGTTCATGGTAATACCTGCTGAAAGCCTCTGCGATCAGATCGATCGTTTTCTGCCCGTCCCTGCTGACTGACGTAACTCGGTCATGCGAGGCAGTTCCCATAGCTGGCTACTGCATAACTAATCTCACCCTGAGTCCGTCAGGGAGAGCAGTGTCCCCTAAAGCAGCATAGGGGGTCCATGTCCTGAATTGCGTAACGCATGCTAAACGTCTCTGTGTTCATCAAAAAAGTTCTCTTTAGACCTGAGCAGTTGTCAAACAGACACCTTGAGCATGAAGAGGTGGAATGTCATCAGTCAGTGTTATGAGGCAGAACTGACCTTTCCCACAAAAACTTTGCTCTTTAGTCTTTTCTCAGTCCCCTTTCTACGTAGCTATTAAAGAAGTTTATGCAGTGTTGCGACAGTAATTTTTGGGTGAAGTTCAAGGTGGTTGTGAAATGATTTACAGTTCCTTTTTATTTCTCTGATGATAACCGTAATAAAAGTGCAGACACCCTTAACTGCCCGCTCGACCTGCAGCACCTTGCCTCACATTTCCTGAGTGCCGTGGGGTGTTGTCTGCTCATCCGCATGTCTCCTGTCTGTCTGAGATCCCAGCATGAAATAGCCCTCGGGACTTTGTGAGTGCTGGTCAGGGGCAGTGATTAAATCCTAGGCCCAAGGACCAGGGTCCTCCCAGTGTCCTGGTGAGCTGAGCAGTGCCAAAGGCTTAGGGCACGCCAATAGGGAATATTTATGCCAGACACTTAGATGAAATCTAGCATTGGTTTCAGTCTCTCTCAGTTTATTACAGCAGAAATGCTGACTCAACCCTAGTTCCAGCCCAGAGCCCACACTAGAGCTGTTTGTTGGAACATCCCCATCTCTGTGACAGGTGATCACGGCGTCACCTGGCCCAGGCACGGTGATTGACTACAGTAAAGCCGATGCGTGGGCTGTTGGAGCAATCGCCTATGAAATCCTTGGCCTGGCCAATCCTTTCTATGGCCATGGGGACTCGACTCTGGAAAGCAGAAGTTACTGTGAAGACGAGCTGCCAGGCCTGCCCGATCGTGTGCCCCGTGAGGTGAAGCAAGTGATAAAGATGCTACTCCAGAGGGATCCCAACAAGGTACGAAACTGTTGTCTTGAAGAAGCCAAGTCTAACCGCTCTTCAGGAGTGTGGTTTGTAGATCCCTTCGCCCTGGAGGGCTACAGGTGCAGGAGTGTCACCTGGGTATCGCTGCAGTCTAGATAACGAACGGAGACAATCAAAAAGTCTTTGCTGAAGCACAGTGCAGCCTCTCGATAGTTTCAGAGATTTCAGCGGATGCTTGTGTTAGGGACTGGACCTTGAATTGGTGGGTTAGATGCAGGTGCCTGATAATTTAATAGTCACAGCAAGCCTTTTATTTCACAGTGACCGTGTGGTGCCTTAGAGGAGGCCTGGGGGACTTTGGGCTCCATGCTAGTGATGTGAGGCAGGTGCAGCAGGGTCAGCTAACCTTCCCTCTCCTTTTTTTGCAGAGATTGTCTGCTAGAATTGCTGCTAACGTGCTTCACCTAAGCCTCTGGGGTGAAAGTGTTCTAGCGTCCAAGGCTCTGAAACCCGACCAGATGATTGCCTGGCTGCTCTGCCAGTCTGCAGCCGCTTTGCTCATGAATGGACTGGTGGATAAAAGCCGGGTAGAAACCAAAATGAAGATGTGCTTTTTGGCAAACCTTGAGTATGAAGACCTCTGGGCAGCAATATTCCTGTTGCTGGCCTGGAGAAGCCGGTCTGAGTGAAGAGTGCCATCTGGGACAGGACCGTGCGATAGATAAACGTCACTTTCTAAAGGCACATAGGAATTTGTTTTTTCTGTCTGCCTGGAATCATGTAGTGCTTTAGGGAACAAAGCTGCAGGCCTGTGTTTAGGACGTTGAGTTTATCTCTAGCAAGTATTAGTACACACTGCTTTTCTCTTCCTGCTAGAGGAAATGCCCTTGCTTTATTACTCTCTTGGTGTGAGGGTGTGCGGACCTTGCAGGTGTCCTGAGGTGCGTGGTTGGTTTTACTCACATTTGGGAATTCTTAATTCACTTTTAAGTTGTGTGTTGAATGAAGCCAGTTCCCTTTCAGAAGAGGGGGTGTGTGGGAGGAAGCACTTGTTTAGCTGCTTTTTACACAGAAGTGTCATGGATTTAAACCATACACTGAGAAAGCCGACCTGACAAAGGGACAGCAATCTTTCTTTTATTAGGGAAACCAGCAGTGGTCTTAAGAGGATATTCCTCTGCAGCCACAGACAGATCTTGCTATAAAATGACAGCCTGGAAGCCTCCGAGTGAGGTGCTGCCTGGTAACATGAGCATCAGGAGCTGCTCGCTTCTTAGGATAACGCACCATCAAATACCTCGCTAGTTGTACGCAAAATAGTGGAAGTACTTTGAACCCAAACCCACTTACATTTGTTTCTTGACTGTTGTAGCTGTTCAGTGACTGCTGCCGTGGGGTCCAAGGCTGAGTGAAACTGTGTCTAGTTAAGGATAACACTGCAAACGAAATGGGGCTGAGCAGCAGTGCCTGCTTAAAGAGTTTAGTGATGCTCTTCTGCTTTACTGACCTGTTTTATTCTGTTGAGCGATGAACTAATATTCTTTGGTCAGGGAGAATAGAAGACGTCGATGTTTGAACAACAACAGTCATGTTTATGAAAACATCAGTTGATTTTGTGTCTGTTAATTGTGTTTAGAGGAACTTGGGGAGAAGGTTATTTATGCTTGTTGCACAATAAATTGAAGATTAAGCTCTGCTGAGTGGGTTCTGTAAATCTAGTTCGTCTCCGCTCACAGGATCCAGGATTTAGGCTGTGGAAGCCTCAGGGGCAATGTAGCCCTGGTTCACTGGTGTCGGAAAAGATCATTCAGTTCTTTCCACATTATTTTATTCCACCAAGTGAAGTTTCCCGAAGAGGAATGGACCTTGCCTTGTGAATGTGCCTGTTACGTACTCTCCTGAACGGTAAATCCCTGGCTGCTCCTGCAGTTTCCAGGCCGATGACACAGTGTGTCAAATGGCTGATGTCCCTAATCGTCACAAGGTAACATGCCCTCGAGGTCTTGCACACTGAAACGGCCTCTCGTTCAGCAACAGTGCAAAACTACTGCCCAGGGAACGGCCCTGCTCTTCTGTGAACACAGCACACTGCTGGGGCTGTAAAAAAGGCCCAGAGCCTGGGAAATCACACAAAATGAGCTCTCTGGGCGAAAAGTTGCAGAAAAAGAGCTACTGAATCTTGGTCTAACCTTAACCAAAGCTACTGCTGTTTTTTTCTTAGATGCCGAGTTCTTGCAGTGTGTTTTTAGCCGGGATGGCTGCCTTGGATTTGTGTGTGTGCTCTCCTGTGAGCTCTGTGCCCCTGCAGCAGTGAGGCCAGTTCCCTGGACACTGTCCCTGTAGTTTTTTGAAGAGTAAATACTGTCACTTTTTTGGTAGATCTCTGCTCTGACCTCTCAGTTTGTTCTCTTTCTCTGAACCAACAAGAGCTGGTTAGCTCAGCAAGGCACAGCTCTGCTTGTTGACACACTGAGTCTTCCCTTGTCCCCACAGTACTGGGCATGGAATACACATGTATTCCATATCCAAACCAACTGTATGGAGCTGGCTTTCGGCTGTGAACAGATTCTGGGTTTTTTTTCCCCTTGATTTTCCTCCCAGGTCCAATCGTTACACGAGTAGGGAGACAAATTAGGAGCCAGAGCCACCCTATTTCAAGCGTGTTGTTATTAGGCCAACCAGGCTTTGATCTGTGCTGGATAACTCCAGACATTGGAAACTTGCTTCCCCTGGAAATCATTTCATTTCATCTCTCTGTCCTCAAAAATGGCCTAAAATGCTTGTCCCGCAGCACTGCCTCTGGTTCTTAAATCCCTATTATTGCTTCTCGTGTGCTCGCATTTGGTCTGTCAAGGTTCTGCTGAGGTTAGACTTTTTTTTTGTTTGCTTTCACTGCCAGCTTTTTGTTAATGAGACGTTTTTATGATTTTTTCAGCACTGCGGGGGCTTTTGTAAAGTGCAGTTTAAAAGTATATGCTGTTAATGCAGCCAGTGCTGCCTTACTTTCTGCAAATGCCCGAGGGGAGCGAAACTGGAACATTTCCCAGGGTGTCCCTCTTGCCTTCTCGTGCTGATCCCCAGGCAGGCTCTTGACGGAGACGCTCGAGCTGAAGCCCCTTGCTGCCGCGTTTGTTGCTGGTGTTTGCTGGGAAGAGGGTGCTGTGGGGAAAACGGTGTGGCCAGGAAGGGGGAATGTGAAGCCCAAGCCCAATCTCTGCCCTTCCCCGAGCCGCGGGGTGTCTGGCTGCACTTTGAGCCCTGGGGAGGGCAGGGGGAGGCTCGGTGGTGGCTGGCTCTGTGGCTGGCTCTCTGCCTGGCTGTGGCACTCCAGCCGCGACACTGCAGGCTGCGGCACACCTCGTTCCACTCCGTGTGGGGCAGAGGGTTGGAGCCCGCGGGGCAGGATGAGACACCTGCTTTGGGCTGCCTGCAGCCAGCCCCTGCCCTGGGAAACCAGGCTCGGTGCTCGCAAGCTGGTTGCGTTTGCTGCAGCGGCCACCCCACGCCATGGCTGGTGGCCCCCGGCTCTCCCAGCTGCCTCCAGCTCCTCACCCGGCGCATCCACAGGGCACCTCCAGCACCCGGGGCACGGGGCCCCTTGCCGCTGGGGCTCGCAGTTCAACGTGCCCCCCAGCGCCCAGTTGGTGGCCCGTCCTGTGGGGGTCTGCTCCATGATGAAACTGCCCGTTCAGGCATCGTCGGAGGGACTGGACGCAGCTTTTGTCGGCGTCCCTCTAGACACGGGCACGTCCAACCGGCCAGGAGCCAGGTGAGGGCCAGCCCCGGTGCCAGGGAAGCTGATGCTTTGCTCCGGCCGACAGGCACGGCTCTGCTCACGCGGCGCTGGCCTGGGGAGCTCTGCCATTTTCCCCAGCTTTTCCCCATCTCCCCAGGTTTGGCCCACGCCAGATCCGGGCCGAGTCGGCAATGGTGAGGAGGTACAACGCCAGCACCGGGGCAGCGCCCTTCGACTCCCTGCGGGTGGCTGACATCGGGGACGTGAACGTGAACCTCTACAACCTGCCCGACAGCTGCCGCCTCATCCGAGAGTCCTACCAGAGGATCGTGGCCTCGGGCTGTGTGCCCCTCACCTTGGGTAAGGACCCTGTGCCTCCCTGCCTGGCCACTGCCTCCCTGCTCATCCAAACTCCCTCTCCTCCTGCCCTCGTGTGGTCTGAACACGGTAGAAGGTGAGTGATGAATGCGTCCTCCACTAAATCATGGGCTAAAGGGGTAAATCCTGGGTAAATTTATGCACTCTCTGCCATCGGTGATATCTTGTATCAAAAATGGGGAGAAGGGGTCAGCCAAGAGACTTTTTTAGCACACAGCCTGCAGCTCAACTGCAAATTCAGTCGGCAGTGTGCTTTTGGTGTCCTGTTGAGCAGGACCCAAAGCAAGAGCAGTCTCTGTCCCTCTGGAAAGCTTCAAGCTTGAGCGAGTGCCCAGCCGTGTGCTGCTTTGCACAAGGCGTAATTTGGACGCGTGTTCGAGTTTCCAGCTGTTGCAGCTTGGCATCAGTAAACGAAGTGTGTATAGAGTAATGAGGGGCAAGTTATCAGTTACAGCGTCCTCAGATGTGAATCAAGCACTTATTTATAAGCCTGGTCAAGGGTCCTGTGCCATGGGCTGCCCCTGCCAGCAGTCGTGCATCTCTGGTCCTCCCCAGGAGGGAAGAGGAGAGAGGAAGGAACCTGCACCCAGGAGCCTCAGGTTTTCTTTTGGGAACAAAGGCCTGGGGTGTGTAAAGAAATGCAGGATAAATGCAAGGGGTGGGGGGGAAAATCAGCTGGGAACAAATGTAATTAATTCTGAGCACCCTTTACACCCTCATCCCTGTCGTGTTGCAGGTGGAGATCACACAATAACGTACCCCATCCTGCAGGCTATGGCAGAAAAGTAAGTTTCTAACCTGGAACTGTAGAATAAGGACCTAGAAGGAGCCTCGGGGAAGGTTCCTGGTGTGCTGGCCGCGGTGTAGGCAGGGCCATCGCGCACAGGGTGGCGACTGATGTGGCCACCTTGTCTCAACCAGGCACGGTCCTGTGGGGCTGGTGCATGTGGATGCCCACACTGACACTGGAGACAGAGCCCTGGGGGAGAAGATCTACCACGGGACCCCGTTCCGGCGCTGTGTGGAGGAAGGGCTGCTGGACTGCAGCCGCGTGGTCCAGATCGGCATCCGCGGCTCCTCCTATGACCCCGATCCTTACAAGTACTGCCGGGACCAGGTAAGCTCAGCTGCAGGCATACGCCGAGCGCTGCTTTCTCTCCCTGCCATTAATATTCCCATGTCATTACTATTTACAGAATCACAAAATAATCAAGGTTGGAAAAGACCTTGAAGCTCCTCCAGCCCAACCATGAACCTCACCCTGACCCTTCCCAACTCCACCAGATCCCTCAGCGCTGGGTCAGCCCGACTCTTCAACCCCGCCAGGGATCCTGGGGACTCCCCCCCTGCCCTGGGCAGCCCATTCCAATGCCCAACTGCCCCTTCTGCAAAGAAATCCTTCCTCAGAGCCAGCCTGGGCAGCTTGAGGCCATTCCCTCTGGGCCTAGCGCTGGCTCCTTGGCTCAAGAGACTCATCCCCCCTCTCTGCCCCCTCCTGGCAGGGAGTTGCAGAGGGCCAGGAGGTCTCCCCTAAGCCTCCTCTTCTCCAGACTAAACCCCCCCAAGTTCCCCCAGCCGCTCCCCAGCAGACCTGTGCTCCAGACCCTGCCCCAGCTCCGTTGCCCTTCTCTGGACATGCTCCAGTCATTCAGTGGCCTTTTTGGGGTGAGGGGCCCAAAACTGAACCCAGTCATCGAGATGCAGCCTCACCAGTCCAGAATACAGGGCTCAGATCCCTTCCTTGTCCCTGCTGGCTAGCAGGAAAAGAAACATCGCTTGGCCCACAGGATGAGCGTTCCTGGCACACTGAGCCGTTAGCTGAGAATAAGAAAGAGGGGTGAGTGGAGGGTGCTTCAAGATTTATGCTGGCAGAAATCTCTGGCTGGGCAGGGGATGCTCCACTTTGCCTGCCTTTCCCTGAGCAGATCCTGTGTGTGCCCACAGGGCTTCCGGGTGGTCCCAGCTGAAGAGTGCTGGAGGAATTCTCTGGTGCCGCTGATGAGGGAGGTGAGGAAGCAGATGGGGAACAAGCCTGTGTACCTCAGTTTCGATATCGATGGAGTAGACCCCGCGTACGCCCCGGGTACTGGGACGCCAGAGATAGCTGGGCTCACGCCTGCGCAGGTAAGGGGGAGGCAGCTTTGTTTCCCAGTGGGACGGGGACTTTTTTGCTCCCATTCAAGGAGGTTGTGCTGCCAGCGCAGCAAAGTGAAGGGTTGGGGAGGGTTAGGGAGAATTTCATAGCAGGAATGAGGAAAGGAAATGTTGAACTGATGTGATTAGGTCTCTATAGGTTGGGTAGCCTTAGCTGCATATGGGAAAAGCAGAGCCCTGACAAGGTCAGATGTATTTCATGATCCCAAATCTGTCGTTTTGTTTTGTTTTTCCTAGGCTTTGGAGATTATTCGTGGCTGCAAAGGCCTGAACATAGTAGGATGTGACCTTGTAGAAGTTGCACCTATGTACGATGTCTCTGGTGAGTCTAAAGGTGGTTGAGAGTAAGACGGGTGTGCCTGGCAGAGGTGGCTGACCGCCCCGGGGGAAAGCAGCTGGGCATTCATGACTTGGGAATTTTTTTTTCCCTTTTTCTCTTTTCTTAGGTAACACAGCCCTCCTGGGGGCAAACCTGCTCTTCGAGATGCTGTGCGTTCTCCCCAGCGTGAAGACAATGTGAGGGCAGCTCCTGGGGACAGGACAGCTCTGACCCCCACCTGGCCTGTTCCCCTCGACCAGTTGCAGTGAACGTGGGCTTTGCAGTAAGAAATAAATGCCATTTACCGCTAGAAAAAGTAATTTTAAGCTGACAAACCATAGGTAGCAGGTTGAGTTTGAACAGCCCATTTAACTGGTGGCTGTTGCTTTTGAGTTTGCCTGGGAAAGGAAAAGATGAGGGTAATGGTGTTTTGCCTCTGCTTTCACAGCTGGAATTACTCACCCAGCTCGTGGGGGTCATGGCAAAGCTGTTGCTGGTACAAGTTTCCTCCCATTAAGCTGCAGCAGCAGGAGGATGAAGGCAGAGGGAGGGAGGGCACCTGAAGGTGGAGAGTAGGGGGATATGGGGATGAATTTCTGCTGGGCCTGACCAGGTGTATCCTATGGCAGGAGCAATTTAATTGCTCCTGGAATGTCCAAGCTGACATGGAGGTAAGGTTAGTTTATACACGGAAACACGGAGCCACCTCATCACACATTAAAATAGTTTATTTTGGTTGTGAATCTGTAATTGTCTTAAAACAAAATGACATCAGTGCCTGTTCACAAATACAAAACAAAACAAAAATAAAAAAGACAAATCTGCCAAATAAGTTAATTCCCTCCCCCCCCCTCTCCCAGTATCAAAAGTGCAAAATATGTACCTAGTTTTCAGTCCTACTTCTCAGGCTGCGTTAGTGCACTAGTTCCCAGAAGGATTTTGGCGAACGGCAGAGGGGAGGCTGCTGCCCCCCACGCTCGCTCCAGGGAGGAGTTTTGGTACAACTTTCAGACTGGGGGCCTGCATCCCTTTGCTTCAGCTTCTGAGCGGTGTGCGCTCACTCAAACCTGACTAGAGCAGTGCACTAGGGCTGAATTTCCTCCATCTTTGGATTACGAACCACCATGTGCATAACAGGATCGTGGGTGCGTTTCGCTGACGATACGTTACGATACGGGTCGAGTGGTGCCAGAGGCAGCAGGTTAGAAAATGATTGGGGTGGGGGTGAGGGGAAAACAGCTCGCAACTGCTGGGAGAGGGCAGGCAGACCTCAGGCCTAAAGCAGCCTCTGACCACACTCTTCTACAAGAAAGCAAAACTCCCAGTGTTCCACGCTGGACGCTAAAGAGAACTAAACGAGGGGTTTAGAACAGTTTGGTGTTGGCATCAGCCCATGAAAGAAGTTTTTTCCAGAAAACAGTGACACAGGCAGAGTTAGTCAGACCTGGTTAAAAGCAGTGAAGGGCAGTTACAGCTAAAAGGGAGCTGTGCGCCCATCCGGCCACAGCCAGCAAGGGTGACTGTTGCAAGCACTCCTGAAACAAAACGCAGTCTAAAAGGGGAGGTTACCTGTGCTGAAAAGAAAATTAAACAAAGGATTCCAGCAGGTGTGTGGCACACAAATTGTATTTTGAAGGCCACAGGCCTTCTCACTTGGGGCAGGGCTGAATTCCCTTCCTGGAGCACAACTAGGCACTTCTTTTTAATGTGTCAAGGGTTTTCTCCTGGTTTCTGATTGGAAAAGACAGCAGAGACCCAGAAAGTATTTTTTTTTTGCTTTTGCAAACATTTTAAAAAGTTAGGCAGAGCCTTCCACTGGGCTAGAACCTATCCTAGCCAGGTCATGCACGGCAAGCTGCAGGAAAAGCACCAGAGTGCTACGGCGATTGCTCTAGCCAAATGAAAATGAAGTCTAGCAGTGTCAGGCCGGCGTTTCGCTCCCCCTTCCACTCTATTTCAGTGGTACGTGTGCACCTTGGAAGTTCTTTGGCAGGGAGAAGACCTCACCTTCCTTCCTTCCTTCCCTCTACTTTAGTGCCTCGTTCATGCAGCAGCACAAGCTGCGGCCTAGAATCCACTGAGCTAAAATTAAGTAACCTCACATAGGGTCAGTTGGTAGCATCGTAGCCTTTATTTGGAAGTACATTATACAGGGTGTTTGAGATACCTGTGGTGGTCGAAGCATGCCAATCTGCTCCCCGGGGCAGGAGGAATGCAGCAAGCCAAGGGTTTGTGAGCAACTGGGTCACGTGGGCAGTAAAATGACTTGAGCGTTTCCCGATTTCGTGGGGGATCGGCAGCTGGCTCAGAGATTGGTTATTCCTACTAACTGGCTGCTCTGCTGAGATGGTAACTAAGGTAGCGAGGGCCAAGTGAGCTTTTAATTAACACCACGTTCTTGAGCAAGTGCTCTACCGTTGGGTTCAGAGCCCTGCGGCCACAGCCATCCTGCTCAGCTCCCCCGTGCTTTGGCAGTGCTGCAGCCCCACAGTGCCATGGCAGGGGCCCGGCTCCGGCGCAGCAAGGACCAGCCCCGACGATGGCGTCTGCCCCGGGGCAGTGAAAAGGAAGAACAAGCCCCACAGGGTTTCAGTCCTGGTCACGAAGAGAAACCCTGCTGCTCCGCTTTATCGCTTGAGGAGTGGAAAGCAGCTGTGAGGCTGCTGCTTGCCTTCCCTCCGCTTTAGCAGGCTGCCCTTTTCCCCTGGTGTTGGAAGTGGCTGTTAGGATCAAGACTGCTAGAGCAAAGCATAAACTAAACCTGCGCTTAACGACTGTTCTAGCTTCACACAGACCTATGAGTTCAAAAAGACAAAAACCCCCCAATGCACACAAACAAAAACCCAAGGCAGCAGCCTGCATGTTGAGAAACAAAGGTTTGTGGCAAGAAGGAAACAGGTGAGAGGCTGAAACCAAGCATCTTAAACCCAAGCCTAAACCAAAAGGAGTTTCACATGTAAGCAATGGTCTGATGATACAGCACTTCTGGGGCAACATTTCAAGAGTACAATCATCGAAGAATTAGGTTCCTTGATACAAAGAAAGGTTGGTTTGTACTACAGATGTAAGGGTGTGTGAAAGGAGCCTGGACCGACTCCCTAGCAGCTAGGTAGAGTTTCTTTTACACATCTACTGGCTCATAGCAGCTCACGCCTACAATCTGAGGACACAAAGTTATGGCTCTAAGATACATCGTCTAAAATCGACAGAAGCAGAAAGGCATCTGAAAAATCAACGTGACATTTAAATGGCTCCACACCTTTACAGTATTTATGGCCGTGCAAAACCCCTTCCCTCCCCGGTTATGGTTTAGCTGGTGAAGCTGTACGTGGAACTGTGACACGAGGAGCATGAAACATGCAGATCGCCCACTAACCTGCACCACGGGTGAGTCCCAGCTACAGGTTTGCTACGAGGGAGATGCTCCCGACCATACTCTAGATCACTTACCCGGGAAAGGCCGATAAAAGCACGACTGCCTGGTGGGAAGAGACCTTTTGGAAGGGCAGGGCCTGGGAGGGGCTGCAGGGTCTTGCCAGTGTTACACCATGCACCACGGGCTGAGCACACAGTGAAGGGGAGGGAGAACCACGACCCGACCTGTGTCACTGGCCACGTTCATACCAGACCAAGTCACTGCGGCAGAGAAGTCATGGGTTTTTCTTCAACCGAGGTAAAATGAGAGATGGAACGGGGGCGACTCGGGAAGCAGATGCAGCAGGACACGAAGGGAAAAATGGACTTCTTGGCTCTTCGGTAGTACGGCATCCAAACGCACGAGTTGGTGGAAGGAGTTTCAGTGCGCTTGGCTGCGCTACTGGGCTCCAGACGCAGGGAGATATTTTCAAGTCGCCGGCCCCAGGCGAGTTCATCTCAAACCTAAGGTCCATTCGTCACGCTTGTCTGTGTATTCCTGGAAAGAGTTGTCCCTTGTCATCTTCGTAAAAAGTTTGTCCGTTAGAATCTCTTTAAAATCCCTCAGTCTAGTGCGGGCCATGAGGGGATATAGAACCTCTGTAAGGAACCCTCTAGGAGACGTTCCATCCAAAAGGACAATTTGTGTAATTTGTTTTTAATAGATCTAGATCCTGGGCTGCAGGAGGATTTTCCTCTGGCTTCCGTGGCTAGTGAGGAATCGTAATCCTCACACGACCCCAGGGTTCCCCCCTCATCCCCTGATCTGTGAGGCTTAAAGAGGCAGAAGTATTTCTTGTGGCCATTCAGAGCCAGGACGTAGCCTGTGTAGTCGCGCTCCAGGAAATGCTTGTCATACTGGTTTGGGATGGGGGCCGCGTCCTGCGCAAACTCTAACAGGTACTCCAGCCATTCCCGGTGCTTGTCCAGGCTGAGGAAGGAGAAATGAAGAGAGCTGCTCCTGGGGGAAGAGCAGAGGAGAAGCAGGATTAGCATGTCTCCCGAGTCAGGCTGGATTCCTACTGGATCAGTAAGCATTTGTAAACCAGGGCAGGCACAGAGCTGTGTCACCATAGCTCCTTTTTTAACCGAGTTCAGCACAGGTGATGATTATGTAGCATGCAGCACTGTCATCCTTTGTTAAAATGGAGGTACAGCCAAAGCAGCAGCAGCAGCACCAGACCTGTCCAGCCACCTCCACCAACTACAGCTGGGAAAGGCCGCTCGGTTTTCAGTGGCTTGCTGCCACTAATGAGTGCAGAGGCTGCCCTGCTCACCAGAAGTGTTTTCTCCTGGCAATCGAGCTACCACTACTCCCAACTCACCATCAGAGCAGTGTTACACAAGTTGTTCAAACAGTAACAGAAACCCAGGAGAGGGCCCCAGCCTACCCTGTGAACGTGTAGACTTCCAGGGCAAACTTCTGGAGGAGGGCGGTTTTGGTTGAGTTGGACAGGATCAAGACCACGTTCATGTGTCCCGGCCTCAGGCGAACCAAGTTACTGTTGTAGTTGATGTCTGTTAGCTCAGTCACCTCGACAAAACCCTTTTTGGGAATCCTGCTGCAACAAAACAGTGACCGAGTGAAAGGGGAACGAGGGACCGGGAGCGGCTGAGGAAACTGAACTCGTTCCCCACCCCCTGTGCCCTGCAGCTAAAGCCAGTTTAATTGGTGCAACGGCCAGACTTGTGTCTTCCTCAATGAGTCAGTCAGACCTTCACCTTTCCCTGAGGATGACGTCTGGGGCAAACTCATGGGAATCACTTCATAACTAAGTTTGTGCACCCCTGTCCATGCTGGCCTGGGTCCTGGCTGAACACTGCTCCCACCCACCTCGCTGTGCCCACACGATGACTGCACTATTCTGACACTTTTCTGCTGTCCAGCTAACCCTTCCCAAGCAACGCTTCGGCAGGAAACATTTCTGGAGAAATTAGAGAAGGAACCTGTTACTCTCTTTGCTGAAGCTCGGGTCGTTCTTCTCAGTCTTTACAGCAGTTTCTTCTTTCTCAGAGGGAGGAGAGTCCCTTGTATCACTAGAATCGCTGCAACGGAAGGTTATTTTGTGTGTGTTTAAGGCACCAGATTGGATTGAGGTGCTGTTGGCTGAACTGTAAGATCCCCTAGGATCTTGGCGTGCACTCACCTGAAAGCCTGAACAATAACAGTGCCAAAGAGAATGAAGAGCGCAGAGAAGAGCAAGGACAGCAGTGGCATCATTTCTCGCCTGAGGGGAAGATTTGCAAACAGCAATCAGGTCTGCAAGTTGCATGGTTTCTGCTCAAATTTCAGTTCCTGTCTACCTCAAGTAATACCATGCAGTTTCCCCACAAACTCAGCTTGTTTTCTGGGATCTTAAGGAGGATTAAGATTTTGAGCACCATCCTGCTCCGACCCAAAAGGAGGAGGACAAAAATGGTTGCATTTAAAAATAAGGCTGTGGGGAAGCTGTGAAAAACAACAGTTGATTCGTGTTTTCAGGAATGTAACGTCCACGCTCAGCCTCACAGCCAGAGTACCCAGTACTTGAGGCAGAAGCTAACGTCACCATGGTGTCACTGCTCTTCACCTGAATCTCAAGAGAATACAGGCACCTATGTGTTTTGATACATTCTCAATTCCTGATAATAAGAACCCAGTTCTAATATGCATCTGAACAAGATAGCAGCAATCCTGCTCCCTGTTGAGACTTGTTAATACCCAATCCATACCAGTTACTGTGAAACAAACTGTCCCAGCAGTCCGAGATATAGTCCAGCATGGAGTAGAGCCATCGGATAAGGAACATCTGTTTAAAAAGAAAAAAACAAATGAGAAACCTGCTATATCCAGAGCCCTGACAGGACTCCCACCCCTTAAACAGAACCCTGGGCTGAATCAGCCTCAGAGTGCGCCATGAGCTTCCTTCCATGAGTGAGAAAACTTGTAAAAGTCTTGTCTTGGTATTGTAAAATATAAATAATGCCCATGAATGACCATAATGGGACTGTCCAAAAAGGCAAGGTGGTTTTTAGGCAGCTGAAATGGCCAGGCACTTACGGGAGCGAGTTCGTCATTCAAGTCTGCCAGGACAGTCTCTGAAGAGAGGAGCCCGGAGTCTGTCCTCAGCTGATCCAGAAGATCCAGGAGGATGAAGTTGTCCTCTTTGCTGCCCTGCCAGGCCTCCTCCAAGGTTTTATAGGCGATCTTCCCTGCGTTATTCCGTCTCTCCAAAATGACCACCTGCACGAGCCAATAACACCGCAGACGTTAGAGAGGAAGGTACTCTTTACTAGACAGACGTTATGCTTCAAATCACCGCTCAGAATTAGGTGTCGGATCAAGGTAAAGCATCCCACATAAAGTGATGTGAGTTAGAATGACAGAGGAAAAGAAGGGAGGAAAAAAAAAAAGGAAACTCTCACAGCTGATTTTCCCCGATACTTCTCCTCATCCATCAGCAAGGCGTCCACAAACTCTGGCTGCCGATCATTATAGATGTGCACAAACTTCAGCGTGTCCTTTGTGTTGGCCACAGCAAAAGTCAGAAACGCCTCGTAAGCCTCAGCAAACTTATCGCCTTCTCCGGTAATCAAGACCACACAGTGCCTAGGCAACACAACGAGACGGAGGATTAGGAACCATTCTGGATGCGAGAGGAAACAACCATCCCCTTTCCTCCAGCCAGAATGATCCTGAAGAGCCAGAAATCCAATTTGTTGCTTCCAGGCAGCCCGCTCCTGACTTCTGTATACTAAGCTCCCCAGCCTGTCACCCTGTTCCTCCTCCCTTCCACCTGCACTCTGCCCAAGGATGTGCCTAGTAAGGCAGGAAAACTATCAAATCATTCAGATAGCCAGCATGATCCAGTGCAGTTGTTTTCCTTCTCCCTCAGAATCAAACAGAAAGTGGCTTTAGGAGCCTCAGGGAACAAAATAGCGGGGACGTGTCACCCACGGGGCCTTACTTTCGCTGACGGTGAGACTTCTTCACGGGACACAGCTCCTGGAACAGCCTCTGGCTGGTGAGTCTGGCTACCATTAGGAATTTATTCTGGGAAAGGAAGTCGTCAATGAGCTGCTTCTTCATATCTCGTGCCTGGTGAGGACAAAGAAAGCAGAGGTCAGAACCAAGCAGGATGAGGAGAGTAAAACTGTCGTGACATTCATGTTTGAAGCCTGGGGAAGGCTGCCAGCCATCACAGTCCTCGCTGAAATCACACAAGATGTTTTGAGGTCCTGAGACTGAGAAGCGACCTGCAACCACCCTCCTCAAAAGGTCAGACACTAGAGCTGAAGCCTGCTGAGCTTCCTCCTCACTCAGAGTCGCTCTCTGCTTCCACAGAAGCCCAAGTTTAAGCTGAGGATGAATGCTCTTGCTCTGAAAGGCACCACCGACCGACCTCTCATCGCAAGCTCGGTCAGAAAACCTCAGTGTCCATCTCACATAAGCTCTTGGAGAGGGCTCTGAGCAATACCTGCACAACATCAGCGGGCCTGTCGACGTGCTCCTTGAAGATCATCATGGTGGGAGTGTAGACGTTGATGTTGTACTGACTGGACAACTGCTCAGTTCCTCGGAGCCCGACGTACACGTAACCAAAGGACAAGTAGTCACGGTATGCAAAGGCAGTCAGCTGAACGGGAGGAAAGCACCGGCGTGTGTTTATGTTAGAGAGCAAACAACATTTTCTCCCCCGAGCGCTTGTGGAGACTTTGCTTTGAGAACACCTCCCGCAGTTTAAATGTCACTGGGCATGCGCTGCAGGAGGTAAAAGCCCTCCTGCTCCCTGGCTGAGCTGCAGTTTGCATTCTCTTAGTCATTGTACAGGAAGCCTCAGTGGATCCACAGCTTTATTTTACAACCTGACATTTTGCATGGTAGCAGGAGTTTCTTAGGAAACAGGCTTTCCAGTAACCCAAATTAGATATGCCACAGAAATCTGTCGTTACCAATAAAGGTTGGGATGTGCCTCTGTTGCTGCAACCTCTGAAACCCACCCGCACCTTTGCATCCACTAAGGGAGGATGTTTTTCAGGAGAGAAAAACAAACTCCTAACGAAGTTGGTCATCTGGCCATGCCATTTTCAACTGACACAAATCAACTTGCTCTCCCCTAGAACCAGCCAGTAGTATTTAGAGGCATCGGTCTGCTTCTGCTCGCAGCAATATCACATTTTCTTTTGGAACAGCTGGATTTATTATCAAGTCAAGAATGCAGCGATAGAAATCACATTACCTTGTATAATAATGGCACAACTGGCATATGATCAAACAGAAGGACGTGGGGCTTGTTTTCTTTCTTCCAGTTGGAGAGAAAGCGGATGTAGTTTTTATCTGTAATCTTTAAATAGAGTCAGAACATGAGTTTAACCTTGGAGTCGTTAGACACATGCAGTGCTGGAGGATTAGGTGTCTGAATGAGAACTGAGCCTGAAAGAGCTGTCCAGTGTTACACAAAGCAGACTGTGGGTTTGTCTTTCCAACAGGTATGTCTGAGCTGTGCTTTTTTGATACAGGACATTAGCTGAAACCATCAGTCTCAACCCCACCAACCCTCTTAGTTACTGCACCCTCTGCTGATGCTGTTTCAAGTCCATGCTGATGTCACATTCATTATCCTAACTGTCCATTGGGGCCATATGCTTTATATATAGTGGGAAGCCAAGGGCTAACAGGAACCTCTGAGCTCCCATCAAACCTGCTCTGTTTCAGCTGTGGTACCTCTCTGACCTAGGGGAAGGAGATAAAGAGATATCACAGCTCATTTAGGGCCCACAGGGAGAAGAGCTGACTGCCAGCTCTGCTTTTGATGAGCTGTGGGAGGTGAACTTGCTGCTTTAGCTGAGGAAGGGGACTGCAGACCCGCTTTTGGGGTGAGGACTCAAATACCTGGAGGACAGCAGGCCAAGAATCCATTGGGAAGGATGGCCCTTGCCAAAGATCCCAAGGGAAAATGAGGTGAGGTGAAAAAGGCAGAGGACAGGCAGGTGAGAGCACGATGGGGGCTGACCCAGCCACAGCGCACTGGAATGGGGCATGGGTGCGTTCAGATCCTGCCAGAAATAACTCAGCAAGGCCAAAATGCAGGAATTTTTTATCTAGTAGGAGGTTTTACCAGTAACTTTGAAACACTGCCGGCTCCAGTTTCAGAGCTCCGAATCAAAACTGGACAAAGCAAACAACAGGTCTCTGGGTGGGTGTTTTAACAGACAATGCTTCCAAGCAGTCCTGAGCTTCACAGAATTACAGAATCATCTCTGTTGGAAAAGATCTTGAAGCTCCTCCAGTCCAACCATGAACCTCCCCCTGACCATTCCTAACTCCCCCAGATCCCTCAGCGCTGGCTCAGCCCGACTCTTCAACCCCTCCAGGGATCCCGGGGACTCCCCCCTGCCCTGGGCAGCCCATTCCAACACCCAACAGCCCCTTCTGCACAGAAATCCTTCCTCAGAGCCAGCCTGACCCTGCCCTGGGCAGCTTGAGGCCATTCCCTCGGGGCCTGGCGCTGGCTCCTTGGCTCAAGAGACTCATCCCCCCTCTCTGCCCCCTCCTGGCAGGGAGTTGCAGAGGGCCAGGAGGTCTCCCCTCAGCCTCCTCTTCTCCAGACTAAACCCCCCCAGTTCCCCCAGCCGCTCCCCAGCAGACCTGTGCTCCAGGCCCTGCCCCAAGCTCCGTTGCCCTTCTCTGGACACGCTCGAGTCATTCAATGGCCTTTTTGGAGTGAGGGGCCCAAAACTGAACCCAGTCATCAAGGTGTAGCCTCACCAGTGCCGAGTACAGGGGTAAGATCACTTCCCGTTGCTGGATGAAACCCCAAGGAAGGAGGGCACTGAAATCCAGCAGGCAGGCAGGGCACAATCACTGATTCCTAACCTAGGGTAGCTTTTGTACAGCTCTGGCAGCCATGGGGTATTACAGCTGAGAGAGCAGCAGGAGCACAAAGGTATTGGCATAACAGTGTGGTAGCTGGATTAGCCCTTTTGCAAGGAGCGGTGTTATGCAGCCACGTTGTGCCATTGCTTCCACCAACTCAGGGGTTTGTAGCTGTAATTACAGCTTTCAAAATGTCTCACTTCACCAGCCTCGGCTGGATGTCCTTGTGTTCGTGACACAGATCAGCTTGGGGGCTGAATTAAACAATTACCCACCAAAACAGCTAAGGAGAGATGAATATCCAGACAGACGCGAGAAGCAGCACGTGTCACTCTTACCAGAGCATACCTTTTCTACAAGATTCCCTGGCAGGAGGTTCTCCACGAACTGCCGCAGGTTTTCTCGAATGACAGCATTGTGGAAGAAGGTTATTTTCCCGTTAATGAGCCCTAGTATGGACGGTGTGCTGTGTGCACCTAGGTGATGGGCAAGGCGCCTTTCATACCCAGCGTGAACGACTCCAATTCCCACTCCTGAAAAAGGAGAGTAGGTTCACGTGAAGGATCACTGATGACCCAAATCAGGAGAAAACTGAGGTTGTAGACGTGTTCCCTTGCCCAGAAGTTTTTCATGGGACTGTGCCTCCTAACTCTGTACTTCCCTCCTCTTGCAAGCCTTGAAAATTCTATCTAAAACTCATAGCTTTATCTATGGAGAGAGAACACACTGTCCTCTGTTGTTCTGTCTACTGGTATTTCACGTGCTACATTAAAACCTCAAGGAGAAAAAGCTTAGTAAGTGGGGACTGCACTGCCTGTGTCTCCTGCTGTTGAGTCTACATGTTTTTATGGAAGAGCATGCAGGCAACATTTTCAGGGAGAACAAGGAAGCTGGGGGCGAAGGGACAAGTACAAAATACCCCCTTGACATCCAAATGCGTTCAGTAAGTTTCAAAACTTCACTGTATGGTAGCGGCCCTAAAGTCAAGGACATATTCTGCAGGGATCTTTGCTTGTCAAAGCCATCCAAGTGCAGGGCAAAGAGGAGCACAGCCTTCGTGCTGGCAGCCTAAATTCGTCGTGGCGTGATCAGCCCTCGGCCACACCATCGTTATTGGCGTCAGACTAAGCCACTCGCCGCCAGGACAGGAGAAAAGGCATCTTGCCCTTGTGACCTACAGGACTGTTTTTTTCCTCATTTCTAACATACAGCCTCATCAATGATGATGTTAGTAACACACGAGAAAGCGTTAGGATAAATCCCTGGGGAAATCTACGGATTAAACTCACTCCTCCAAAGCTGAAGGCAGTCACCACAAGCTTGTGGGGCGAGGGACACGCGCTCAGCCTAAACAGCCTCATCCTTACCCAGCGCCTCCAATTCCTGAGCGACCTCCTTCCACACAGGCTCAATGTGGATGCAGCTGAAACACCAGTCTGAGGTTATTTTAATGAGGTAAGGTTTCTTGAAACTATCTGGCACGATTTCATTGATGTAGTGGGAAAAATGAAGCAAATACTTCTCGTCGGAGGTGTCGCGCCTCTCCGAATTAAAGGGGAAATGGAAGAAGGACTCATCAAAATAGAAGCCTTCGTGGAAGTGGTGGAACTGGCGATGCTGGTGCTGAGAGTAGCCCTGGCTTTCCCCCGCATCTCCATAGCGATCAAAATTTGCCCTCTTTTCCTCATTGGAGAGAATCTGGGAAGTAGATGATAGAAAAACTGTGAGGGGGAACTGCCCTGCCAATAATCCCTTAGTAAGTAACTGCTGCTGCATAAGAACAGGCTCCAAGGGAACGTGCAGCCTTTGCTGTGCATTGAGGGATAAATATTCTGGAAAAGGGAACCAGCACATTGCCTCCAGGCTTGCTGCAGTAAATAAGGGTAAAAAAAGCCAAAGCCCAAAGGAAAGGAGCCTGTAAATCAAGACTGCTGTACCCATTTCTGACACCGATGGCTCCTTGAGCCTGAACGTCACGCTGTCTGAGCATCAACACTTTTCTGGAATGGCTTTTGCTGGCATCTACTTGAACAGCGAGGGTTTTCTCAGCGCATTGGAAAACACCAAAAGTTTTACCGAGCAGCCAGAAACCCCACAGAGGAACTGCATTTTTCAGCTGGAAAATGATGATTTGCTTTTGTTTCTGCGAGCTCAGCTTGCCTGCTGTGGAAGTATTGGGTCAGCCGCCACAAACTGGGGCAGCCACTTTGGAGAGCCACGCAGGAGCAATGCGCAAATAACTACTTATGCAAAAAATAATTTGAAGCGACTAAAGCCCTGCAGTGATTAACGTTGCTTACATCACTCCCAAAATGCTTATGTGGAGGCGTGACACGGACAAGATGGCCACCCAGCTGTGCGGGGCTGAGCAAATACCTGCTCCTCCCTCGTCTGAGGCATTTTAGTGAGAACAGAGCAGACCTGTAGCAAAATATTTGCCAGAGAGCCCACGTTGGTGACATCCAGAGGCTCTCTGTTGAGAAAAAAAGACCAAACTTTTCTGGATAGTAGTGTCCACCTCCACAGGGTCAAGCACCTTTCTGTGTGTACACAGAAAATGCACAAAGCCCCATACATAGAAATAAGGTCACTTAACTTTTAATGACAGCACGTGTTTAGCAAGAAGAGCATGTTACCTCGTAGGCCTTGCTAATCTGGATGAATTTGTCTTCTGCTCCCGGGTCCTTGTTTTTGTCAGGGTGCCTACGAGGCAGAACCAGAGGAAAAGGGGGTCAGCAGCTCCCCGGGGGGGACAGCGAGCTGTCAGCCTCCGTTCAGAGGCGAGCAGGACACGGACAGTTAGGGTGTGCGGCGGCAGCATCCCCTGAGGCTGAGATGAAGATTTTATATGTGCTCTCCCTGCCTAAACCCCATCCCAAAACTCAGCACCAGGACGTGTTTCATGTGCCTGCAGCTCTGTCCCTCCATCTGATCCGTCAGCAGCAGCCTGAGCTCAGGACGAGGGAATGTGTATCCTTCCTACCTGCTGCAGCAATGCATCCCTCTGCTCCCGCCCTACATATCTGAGTTCTTCCTGTAAACTGTCTCCCGCCACAGCCCTTGGGGATGTCTCAGCCAAAACTCTGCAGGCTCTCAAAGCTCCGGGTGAGGCTGTTTTCCAGGAAACCCCTCGAGCCTGCTCATCAGTGTGCGCCACCAAAGTGAGGGCTGCAACATTTGCTGATCCAAGGTGTTCCCCTCCCACGGCACGGGTTGAGTTTCCCTTAGATATATCAAACTGAGACTTAGACCCTGGTGTATTAAAGGTTCCCAGTTGACTCTGGGAGAACTTCTTCCCCCGTAGCCAGGCTCCGGGAGGGTTTTATAGTTTGGATTGATAGCATGAAGGCATCTGCTTGGTTTCAGGATGACTCCTGGCATGGGAGGAAGACCCGTCGCTCGTCTCTGACCGCCAGCGGAGCCTCGCCTGGCGCGAACCGCCAGGGAGGGTGGCTAATGCCACCACCCAGACGCGTTACCCGCTCCTCAGACCGTAGCGGCCTAGCTCTGTCAACCGAGAGAACGCGAAACGACACCGCGTGTCTGTCCCACCGTGTCCGTGTGTCCGGCCCGCCACGGAGCGGCATCAGAGCCCGGGGCGGAGGGAGGCACGTACCATTCCCGGGCGAGCCGCTTGTAGGCCTTCTTGATATCGGCCTGGCTGGAGCTCCGGCCGACCCCCAGGACGCGGTACGGGTCGAACTCCCCCGCCGCCACCTGCGCTCCCAGGGCCGCCAGCAGCAGGGCGGCAGCCCAGGCCAGGCCCGCCCGGCCCAGCTCC